CAGTCTTAGGCTTAGGCTTAATGTAAGCCTGATACTGAAACCTGATAAAGATAACATAATAAAACTGTAGACTAATCTCTCCTGTAAGTAAGACACATAAATCATAGATCAAATATTATCAAAGAGAATTATGAAATATAGTTTCAAGAGCACCATGATCAGATAGAGGTTATTTCAGGCAGGTAGCATATTTTAATATTTGGGAATCTATTATAATATGAAATCGGTACATCAAAATTAAAAATAAAGATATGACCATCTTATTGGATACAAAAACAGCATTTGATAAAAATTTCATTGATTGTGTAAGATACGATCACCTAGGAATACCAAGAGAATCAACTGAGAAACTGTCGCACTGAGATTACTGGACATACAGAATAGCAACAAACTGTGTTCAACAACTATGTATGAACAGCAATGTTCAGGGATTGATAAAGAAGGCAAACTCAAACACTAAGACGGGAAATAAAAGATCTGAATAAATGATGAGAATTATGTACCTATTTGGAAATACTATTGTAAAGATGTCACTTGCCCTAAAAACACTGCAGATGCACGTCCAATAACATTATGATGCAAACCATGAATAAAATGATTCTAAAGTTGATCTGGAAAAATAGGTAGGCAAAAATGTCTAAAATGCTCTTAGTGTTATTTTTTTAACTTTTTATTTTGAAATAATTTCAATCTTAAAGAATTATTGCAAGAATAAGATCGCCAGATTCACCAACTTTTAACATTTTGCCACATTTTCAATCTTCCTCTACCCCCAAATATACATTTACATACATATATAATTTATTTACATTTTTTCTTTGTCATTCAAGAGTGAATTGCATACTTTATGCCCTTTACCCCTTAATACATCACTGCATATTTCCTAAAAATAAGAATTTTTTTATATAAACAGTACATTCAGGAAAGCTAACAGCGATGCAAGTATTTTTAGTTACAATCTATATTACAAATTTACTATTGTCTCAATAGCATACTTCATAGCATTTTTTTTTCTTCCAGTATAGAATTCATTCCAGGATCAGATACTACATTTACTTTTCATTTCTCTTTATTTTTTCTTTATTTAATCTTCTGAACAGTTCTTCTGTCTTTCAATCACATGGACGTTTTTCAAGAATACACACCAGATATTTTGTAGAATATTTCTCAATTTGGTTTTGTCTGATAAGTGTAATGTTAATATTTGAACTTCTCAGGGAATCCCATCCAGAAGCACACGACATGGGTATGCCTCTCTTTGATGGTGTTAAATTTGGTCATATGGTTAAGAAGTTATCCAGTTCCTCTACTCTGTAGTTACTTTAATTCCCCTTGCAATAAATAAACATTCTGGGGGAAGATACTTTAAGACGTGCACATAACCTACTCTTTAATCAAGCTTCTCCTATAAATTTAGCATTCATTGATGATTCTAGTATATAATCTTTACTATAATAGTTGCAAAATTATGGTTTTCCAGTATTACCACTTTTCTATATTTGTCAGCTTTTCCACCTTTTTTTTTTCATTTATTCATTCATCTTTTTGTTAATAATATGGACTTATACATTCCTATTTTATTCAACAGATTGTAATTCATTATGGTCTTTTATTTATTGTGATACTGAAAATGTCCTAGAGTTGGCCAGTGTGGGCTGATTCAGGCTGGCTCCTGTGTTCTATGACATGTTCCCATCATCTTATGAGCACTTCTTTCCTTTCTGGCACACACAACAAAATGTTCCAAGCTCATTTTGTACTTTCTTGTGCTAGCCTTGTAATCAGTCATTTCTCCAAAGAGCCCTGGTTTCTTTTGGTGGGGAATGGTTTGGACGCTAAGTATATTGGATGATAGTGGGAGTTTTTGCTTTAAGTCCCTTGAAAAGAACAAAGCTAAGAAATATATGTGTGTGTGTGTATGTGTGTCTGTGTGTAGTAACTATATATATATATATAGTTACTACACACAGACACACATACACACA